ACTGTCGATGATTGATTATGATTATTGATGATCGCTTCTGCCATCTAACAACTGCACATGAACTATTCGTGCTGCCATCTGTCAATAGCCATATAAACTACAATATTATTAGACGAGGACAATTACGATGATTATTAATTATAATTTCTGTTGAATTATGATTGGGTGAATTTTTCAATAAATAATGACAGAAGGAATGTTCGATAATTGTTGCACAGCATACAAGATATAAATTTTGGTCCATACCAGGGAATCTTAAACTTTTCCAGGTCTGGGGTCACGTTTATACTTTATAATAGATCTCGCGACCCGCAAGGTTACTAACTAGGACAACTATTTAAACGCCATGGCATTTTATTAAAAACGCTAAGTTGGACAATTTATTACAAACCGATTCACATTTTAGGCCACTGAAAATTTTTCTTTAACAAATCGGTCCTAAGTGAGAAACCAGAAACTGCGTTTACTTGATCAATCTTTCAATGTTGGGTTTAATGTACAGGTAGCCTTCGATTTTTACCGGAGATGTGTTTCTGGACGAACCGGCGCAATCGGAATCAGCGTAAATTGGAACGATTTTATAATGTAAATCAACGGGAAGTCAATGACATGCATTCCCAGCGCCCAAACATCGATAAGTAATATAATGGCATTACATTTAAAGCTCTGAAATAACGTAAATAAAATAAAGGGAATTTAAAAATATATTTTATACACTTACAATCGGCGATGGCGTGATGAGGCGGCGTCAGTTCTCTGACGAAGTCCCTGATTGAGGATCGGCATGTTTTTTTTAAAGAAGGCACGTAGTGTGGACTGTCGTGGTTTCTCCTTTCTTTCTTTCTTTCTTTCTTTCAAAATTTCACGATAAGGCCTCATGGATGCCATAACGCTCCTCTTCACCGTAGCACAAGAGCAAACTCGCATATGCAAAAGTTTGCATTTCACAAACAGCTTTTACCGATTCATCGATCTCATTGGCGCAAATTCGCGTTAACGAAACATACGTAATTACAGAGATGACTATATCTATAATTTTTATTCAAAATAAGCGATGCAAGAATTACGATTTAGTATAATGAAAAGTGAGCGGACGGAGACCACGACGAAGATGACCGAACAGGTGGGTCGACCAACTGCAGTCATTAGTGGGGAAAGTTCTGCACGAGGCCTCACAACTTGCTTTGGTCCGGAGGGCTTGGCGGGAAGAAGCCAAACCATGAAGCGCCACCACGCCCTGTTAAGGGTCAAGGACAGAGGAGGAGATAAGAAGCAGTGCGAGAAACATTGCAAAACGTTATAAATAATAATAGTATTTTTTTCTTCACTTTTTGACTTTCTGGTTTCAAAATCGGCGTTGTTCTAAATCGTCGCAAATTGGACCGGCGCAAATCGAGGGCTACCTGTATGTTGAAATTCGCATGCGTCCCTCAAAGTGTTCATGAGTAACATATGTCTTACTTCTTGACTACACGTTCTTCATTAAGAACAGTTTCTCACAGCGACATATTCTGATTAAGACTAACAACATTATCAAAACAGTGCGATTTGAGGTTCTTATGGCGGCGAGTATAAAGATATTCTGGTAGAACTTTACAGACGTTTCATCACTTGATGATGGAGGTAGCAAAAACCTCTGAAACATGCGCAAACTTCTACTAGACTGCATGGCACAACAATCCAGAAGACAGTCATCTTCTTCACCAAGTTTGTTTTCTGATGGCAAGAAAATATTTTGCATAACAGATCGACACAATATTACAAGCAACAGACGCGGGCCACATAAAATAAATCGTCAGACCTAGGGCTGAAAATTTTTTGTACATACCAAAGATTTATAACTTTTATTTGAAACATTTTCCGATGCGACTTATAGCGACTTACGCTTACTTAAGAGATGCGAGAACAATAATTTGCTTTAATGCAGTGTAGTAACACAGATATTGATTAGCTGTAAAAATAGATTTGTATCTGCAATAAGATGAACAAAGGATGCAGAATTTAAATAAAAGGATAAAAAGTTCACGTCAAAATTGGAATACAACTTTTTGATTGAATTGCATGGAACAGCCGTGACCATTAGGCAACTTGTCCGTCACTATTGTGTGACAAGTAATCTAGTTATACCTTTGCAGGCGAACAACTTATCAGTCAGGCTACGACAGCCGGAAATGAAAAGAGCAGTTCGTTCCTTCGTTCGTTCCGCACTAAATGTTCTACGTCTTGGAGAGAAATAATGATAGGTCATACCTCAGTACATTTGTTAATCATTTTAATTTCGTCTCATGCCTGGTTCGTGCTTGTCACTGACGCCGCGGCCTTACGACTAGTAAGATTTTCATTCGCTCCAACACTGTGATCATGGGTTCGAATTCAGCTCAGAGCACATGTTTGCGTTTTCTGTGTAGGTGGAGTCTTCGGGATGGGCCGATCCCTCATCCAAGGAGTCTGAATTATTCAAATTTTCAGCATTCAGTGTTTCAGAATGGTAACCGTGCCAAGGTGGGATCGGGATTGATGAAGGAATTTATGAGACTCTTATGCTGGGTTTACGGGGTTTAATTAAAGATCGTCCCAGCTATGTCTTTAGAAATTTATTTCAGGTGATTGCTGAATTAATTTCTCCGCACGATATTGGTAAAAGTTAATGTACTACACCAATGCGTCCGTGACAACCTTTCAACTTGCAACAACTGCCAACTCACAACTGCCAACTGACTGACTCTAAAAGAAGTTTTCTCTCAAATATATTAATTTCTCCCAATCATTTCGAAATCTGAAATTTTGTAACATCATTAGTTCCGACTTCCCGCTTTGTTTTGTGATTGGTGGGAAAATTTAAATTTAAGTCAGAATAACTTTTATCTGATTGGTCGGTTCGATACCCGAGGTCAACTTTGATAGTTTACAATGTAAACTATCAAAGATGTAAACTTTACATCGCGTGGTGATGCTAGGTCACTTATGCCTACTTTTGCATAAACCCAATTAATAGGAGTCCGACCTCCTAGGGGTGAAAGACTGCAATGGCCTGTCAAAGTATCCAGTTACAAGAAGTTTTGATCTTCTTGAATGCGTATTTTTCGAAAGGACAGCTGACAGTGACAAATATAGGTCTGTTCCGCTGACCCTTCGCGACATGTGCTGGTGTGGATGTATTGAAGACAGAAACATTACTTCATCCTTGATGGGTACTCATAGTCTGAGCTCGACTTCATGACTAGACGATTACAGAATTAACTTAAAACAACCAGTTGAACTTAACAGAAAATTTAAAATGTCAACACATATCCCGTGTTTGTTATACATGACTTCACTGGCAGCATCTCCTTTCTGTAACAAGATTGGAAAGAGCATGTAGTCTTCGTAAACTACAATTTCAACTGTTCATACGCCATATCACGGGTGATGACGTCAGCATGGCAACCAATGGAATAAATGCAACAACGGTATCGAAGGTAACAATGGTATCCAAAGTCATTTTTGCAATAGTATGTACCAAGGTCATTGTAGTGACAATGTGATTAAAGACAGACATGGATGGACCGACAAACTGTACTTCGCTTACGCTAAAGTTTAAAGAACACACACACAGAATATTAGTCAAGAATAAAATTAGACTTCAGGCAAAAGAATAACGTTTAGAAATTTTGCTAAGAAATAGCGATTACGCCCATGCGCATTTAGGTAGGCTACTAACCAAATTTTCAAATAACTTGATCTAATAATTCGTTAGTTATCACTGTCAAACTTAAAGCTGATAACAAATCCCAAGGCCGCAACACTGTCGTTTTACATTCTATAGTTACCTCAACAAATGAAGTGGGGTGGGCGTCTAACCGACCCTGGTATCACGAACATTCCCTGATATTATGTGCATCGCCGTTGTCTCCAGTCCTCTAGCACTTGCATCCCCGTACTAAGTGCAGTATCTTACACAGCGGGATCTCTTGACAGTCACCTGGTTTCGTGAAATTCTTCCTAAGTAACTAGATCTTAATTCAGCTAAGGCCTCACAATCACATTGAATATGTGAGACTGTTTCTATTTCGTTGGTCAAAGTTTCCCTGTTAAGTCCATTTTCCCTGGGCCTTTCGGGAGGGTTTATCTCCTTAATTAGGGTGCGCCCTCAAATCTGAGCCCCTTAGGCAACCCCAGTTTGGGCCCTCCTGGACTTGGGTAGTATCGCGTACCCCTGCTGCCCAGTACTACTTTAGCTCTCCCTATCTATTGTAAGGTTCCTCCTGGCACTTCTAAGCAATTTAGTTTTATCGGATGAAGCCTGCTGCCTGCCCTGGTGGCTACATGTTGAAGGTCATCTTCATCCACAGTTTTGTTGGAACCGCTAGCTCCCTGCTGAAAGGAATAAACTATCAAATGGAGGCACTGTGTATGAAAGCTCCTTTGTATGACTTAGGCTGTTTTCTATTTTATTTCCGGTGTTCCATTTTTTGTCCCAGGAGAACCGGGGAACAGTCACCACTCGCAATGCCCCATACGTGTGGAAGGTACTGATACGACGGGGTGGTGCCTGGTGTCCCGAGGGGATCGTTAGCGGCAGTAGAATCATCAACGCAATGGCATGCAGTCCTCCGCCATGTTGTTACATTTCATTGTGGAAAATTAGAAACTACGGTGGCCTTCAATGTTGTTAAAAGCGGCCAACTGGTTGAAAAGGTAAAAAGTTAGACACACAGGCGCACAAACAGCAAAGCGATCCCATACGTCTACCCTGTTTCATCATCACGATCCTGAATTAAAGGGCGCCATTGTAGATCCCAGTTCATTTCAGAGACTGTTTACTAAACTGAATTATTATAAATACGACAAATCTTCCCTTATCTACAATAAACAAACATTAAATTAACGCACAACTATTCGCGATTAGTACATTTAATTTACACAACCTACATGCTATCAGTGTGTTTACAATGATACCCCATTAACAGTTGTGTTTAATACGTATGTTGGTTGCGTTCCATATACAAGTACGAAAGAGCCACAGATGGTTAAATGTGATACTCAGTTAAACTTTACAGCAAAAGAAACGAGTTAATCGAGGCAGCTATCGTTGACATGTATAGCGTGACGTCAAAAATGTATACAAACCAGCGCATGTTGTTTTCCTTAGTTGCATCAAGGTTACTATTGCAAAGCTGAATTATCATGTGATGAAAGATGACTGTTGGAAGGTAAATACATCGGAAAGGTTGTAGTGGAAGTCGAAATCTGAGCATAACTTTTGGTGACAATGTTTGACAGCCTTCGTGATAAGTTCCATACAGTTCAAGAAGGGATCGCTGCAAGGTTAGTGACGCATTTAGGGCTTGGCAGAGATAACCTCAATGTGAAATGAACGGAATTGAATACGTGAGTTTGTATTTTGTGCTTGAACTTTTATATAGTAGCTTTTTAGATATACGATAAATTTAATTTGGGTTAAAGTATATGGAAAACAGATATTTTCATTAATCTCACAATTGTTTGGGTATGATGCTTTCCTTTCTTGTGTGTACCATAAACTTTATATTTTGAAAGTCCAGTGACTGCTAAGAAATGGGAGTCTGTTGGTTACTTGTGGTAAATACAGTGTACAATTCTGCACTCACCAGTAAGTTTACTAATCATCAGTTTCACAAATAATGTAATGAACAGCTTCTTTGTTTGTTGGAAGCCTGTGGACTGAAGAAGGTTAAAGAAATATCAGGTATAACATTTCAGTTTAATTTCAGTTTCAGAGGTTTATCAATAGTCGATCCCCCACGAAGATCACAGATTAATACCAGTGTAGTCAATTACAATGCTGGAGCAGATGTGTTGCATAAATATCAGTCACAGTGGAGTGAAATGCATAAGTTGGCTGAAGAAAATGCAGTCAAAGCACAGGTGATTACTGACAAATAAAAATGTTGTTAAAATGTAATGAAATTAACTTTCAAGAAACACTTGGACAAAAACATGTTAAAGGATTCTTTCAAGTACCCTCTGCTAAATGAACTAGGCAACTAGGATAAAATATAAACCAGCTGAGACAAGTGACAGGCTTACTGATAGGACACTGCCATTTAAGGGGATATCTATTTAGATTGGGAGAGATTTTACAACAAAGATTGACATTACAAAATGAGCCACAGAGATGTACTTCATAATTTGGAAGATTCTGAGTGGTAATTAATAAAATAAACAAAAGCATAAAAAAGTTAAATACATAAGTAAAAATGAGTATTTCAGTACATGTCAGTGATGTTTAATGTATCTGAGCATGTAAAGATGGCAAACTCCAATTCAGTATACTGAATGACTAATATGGATTAGGGACTGATAGTTGTTAATTGATCATGATTATTACAGGAGTTGGACAGTTTCATAGGTTCTCTTCATCAGAAGTTTGAGAAACAATGGAGTGATGTGAGTCACATTGCTTCAAATTTAGCAGCTGCTCCTCAGCTCCTCACAACAGTGCAGCAGTTGATGGAACAGATAGGTCTGTTATTTGACACACAGACATTTCTTCTAGTATATAATTATAATATATTTGTAGCATCTAACCTGATGTTCCTTTAAAGATATATTATATCATGTACAAGGTAAATCTAGATTACAGAAAACACAAATGACACATTGGAACTGACTCTATTGAATGCGAACCCAGTTGTGCACATTTTAAAGTTCCTAATATTGAAGTTATGATACGATCTATGTATTACAGCTGTGGTGATGTCTATGGCAGAACTCTTTCACTGTTTGCAAAGTAAAATATGTCATTCAGTTGTGTGTTAGCCAGCATTCACCTGGATGTCACAATTTGGTCAGAAATTCAGTATTTTATCCCTGCATATATAGATAAATTGTTTTTACATGTAAATGACTTGTATCCAAGAGATTATTTTCTTACATATGATATTTTGCTCTAGTATTTATTGAAATAAAAAGTCAGTGTTACAACACACTATATATGTTTGGTGGAGCAGTTCCATTCTTAACACAGTATGCTTTCCTACAGGGTTGACTTTGAACTTTTTGTTAATGACAGATGAAGGGTTTAAGGCCTATGTGATCCATCTAAGAATCATGTTTTAAAGATCTCTAATCAGCGCCATCATCATTATTTAATTTGCAGGGTCTTTACAAGGGTTGTTTGAAGATGTAGAAGAAGCCTTGTTTCAGTTGGAAGATATGATAGAAATGCAAGAATTACAAGAGAGACAACTGGACCATAGATTCCAGTTTGCATTATACAAAGAGAAGAAACTTAGTGAATTGGAAGCTGTGAGAGGTACACCATGATTTGTTGCATTGCAGCATTACTATTATGAATACTAATGCATGTCTTCCTTAAAAGTAACATGCTTCTCCCACTTCACAACTACCAGACAGTGATGTACTGCCTTTAGCTGAGTGCTAGATGTTAATCCAAGATACAAGTCTAGAATTACCCATTAAGAGAAATAATAAAAACAACTTTCATGCATTATAATATCTGCTTTTTTGTGATTATATCTAGAATGTATACAAAGAAATAAGCACACAAGAACGAGTATGCTGCAAATGATACTCAGCAGTAAAACATTGAACACTGTGAGAAACTTATGTATTAAATCATTACTTTACTTCCCAGCAAATCTGGCATCAGAACATGCAGATAAGGTGGTTCAACATGAACTTAGGCAGCAGAAATTATTGAAAGAAAGACAAGATGCTTTTGGAGAAGCTTTTCAACATGATGTACAACATTACAAACTCTCTGGCTCATTACCTAGTAAGTACAAAATGAGTGTTCTGCATATAAGCATACAGCAAAGTGTTATTTTTTTTTTATTTTTTGCACAAAGTGAATGAAATAAATGCATAGATTGTCTGTTTATTAAATCTTAAAAACAACTTAGTGGATTTCAGTGAGTTACATCTGTTGCATTTATCAGTTCAGTCCATCCTGAATTTTAAATGAACTTTGTCATATTACTAAAGAATGTCTGATTGTATTATAAATTCATATAACATGTAAGAAAATATACCAGGTGATTCAAAAAGGACTTTACAACTTTGAAAGTGTATAGAAATTTAATCAGAAAGCTTACAGAATCGGTTGAGGTGTCATTTTGTAGCAAAACAAATCAAGT